TCCCCAGGTTTGTTTGTTTTTTTGTTTGTTTGTTTGTTTTGTTTAATCCGTACCTGAAATATTTTTACCTTATTTTTTTTTTTAGAGAAAATGGGAGAGAGACACATCGATTGGTTGCCTCCCGCATGTCCCCAACCAGAGCCAGGAGCCTTCAACCAAGATACATGCCCTTGACCCCAGGAATCGAACCCAGGACCCTTTAGTCCACAGGCCGACTCTTTATCCACTGAACCAAACTGGCTAGAGCTAGTCACCAAGTTTTTATAGTGATGTATCTAAAGCTTCAAATAGAGCGGCTCAGCTTTTGTCTGTTACAAATTGAACCGCCATCTAAGACTGATTTTGCACAAAGAATTCTTACACCTAAAAAAAAAAAAAGTTTGCCAGCAGCTGCTCTAGCCTGTCAGTAAGAGCCTTGATGCCTCCAGCCCTGTTTTTATACCTTTATGTCCCAGAGCTTTACCACACAGTAAATGCTTAATAAATATTTGTTAGAAGGTTGAATAGTTTTGTTTGATTTGTTATCTGGCTCTAATTAAGTTTTCAGTTGCCTAGCATAACAACCTAACAGTTTCTTAAACATCTAAGCCCTAACAGCCTCCACCTCAAACCTCAAACCTGAAACAGAGAATGAGGCAGACAGCCATCCAGATAACACACTGACATTTCTTCTAGGGTCATATATACTATGAAAGTTCCTAGTCACTGATAAATATAAGCAAATGCTATTTCATTAGCCGGGAAGAGCGTGACAGTTTTCAGCAGCACAGGCCTCCTAGGCTAATATTTGGATTATTTCATCTGAAACTGTCAAATTAAAAGAGCATGATAAAAACTTGTAGGAACTTCATAGTAAACAGTAACTGGCCCCTTGTCAATAAGTTAGAAGAGAAAACTTTCCTGCTGCCAAAATGCATGGGCCAGAGAGCCAGCAGCCCAGGCCGGCAGCCAACTAGAGCCTGTTCGCTGGGCAGCTTTTCTAGGTTCTCAAACACAATGGCTGGAAGAGAAGTTCCTGAGTACTTTAGGGACGTGGGAGTCAGCAGCACCTTCAACTCTCAGCTTTTCTGTGGCTTTATTTAGGACTCTGAGTGGTCTTTTAACATTTTAGCATCTCAGATTCCTTATGTGTAACATCTACTTCATCAGGTCCTGATAGCCATGGCTCCCTGGGTTTGAATCCAAACTCTTTGCATACTAGCTGTGAGGCCTTGGATAAGTTACCTCACTTCTCTGGGCCTCCATTTCCTCACCTCTAAAATCTAAGAATATTAGCAGCCATTTCATAGGGTTGTCAGTGTAAAGCAATAGGAACAGTGCCTGGCATAGGACAGGCATTCAACAAACCTCAGCTATTATAAATCTGCAATCCTAAAAGCAAGAGTTTTGAAAACTGAGTTTTTGTCTTTCTTTTTCTTTTAATATTTTTATCAGTTTGATGTCAAAACTCATTGAGACAGTCAACCTGACCTTAACAGACATGGTTTCTTTTACCCTATGTGATGTGAACATCCATATGTTTCATTGCAAAAGTAAAAATGTGTTTAATTATGGGATGCTGCCCACACCAGAGAAGGAATGTCATTAAAGTGTGAAATATGCCCTGAACTACCTTTCTAAAATCAGAACAGTTCTGAATTCTAAAATGCACTGATCATAAGTATCCTAATAAAAGAATAAAATGCAAATTGACTATACCTCTACTACACCCACCAGACACACCCACCAGCCAATCAGGAGGAAGTATGCAAATTAACCCAACAAAAAATGGCTGTGGCCACTGAGGGAGAAGGAGGTTTGGGTTTCCCAGCAATGGAGGAAGCCAAACTTCCTGCACAAACTGGCTGGCCCAGGCCTCTGCTCAAGGCTACAAAGTTTCAATTATAAAAGATACATAAATCCCATATACCAGGGCCTCCATTTGGGGGGGGGGGGCAGCGCTGGCCTGCAAACCACCACAGGCCTCTCGCTCAGGCTGCCTCACATCCCAAGGGAACCCCCACCCTGATCCAGGACACCCTTCAGGGCAAGCCATCTGGCCCCCATCCATGCAGCAGGCCTCTATCCTATCTGATAAAAGAGTAATATCCAAATGGACCATCACTTCAACACACAAAATGGATGCCCCCATGTGGATACAAGATGGCCAGCAGGGGAGGGCAGTTGGGAGAGATCAGGCCAGCAAGGGAGGGCAGTTGGGGGTGATCACGCTTGTAGGGGAGGGAAGTTAAGGGTGACTAGGCAGGCAAAGTTGGGGGTGACCGGGCCTGTAAGGAAGGGCAGCTAGGGGGACCCAGGCCTGCAGGGGAGAGCAGTTGGGGGGGACCAGGCCTGCAGGGGAGGGCAGTTAGGGGTGACCAGGCAACTGGTTGCTATGACATGCACTGACCACCAGGGAGCAGACGCTCATGCAGGAGCTGCCCCCTGGTGGTCATTTCCCTCCCAAAGAGGGAATTCTGCTCAGCCACAAGCTGGGTGGATGGCTGTGAGTGCAGTGGCTGTGGCGGGAGCTTCTCCCACCTCCTCTGCAGTGCTAAAGATGTCCAACTGCAACTTCTACCTGTTCCCCGCAGGCAGGTGCCCTAAGCTGGCAGGTGGATATTCCCTGAGGGCTCCCAGGCTGCCAGAGGGATGTCTGACTGCCAGCTTACGCCTGATCCCTGATCCCCAGCTCCTATACTCCTATACAAGCTCTTCTCAGCTCTCATACCCCTGGGGATCTGGCCTAAGCCGGCAGGTGGACATCCCCCCCAGGGGTCCAGGACTGCAAAAGGGTGCAGGCTGTGCTGAGGGACCTACCCCCCACCCCCCCGAGTGCACAAATATTTGTGCACCAGACTTCTAGTTTCACATAAGGGACTAGGGAGCTATGTTACAATGGGATATGGCTGGAATGAAAGGAGCTAACACATGATAAGCACTCAGACTTCAGTAGTAGCAGACCCTATGAGTGTCGAGTGATGTTGGAGGGTCTTTGGGTTTCTACACAGGAAGAGAGAAGGCAGCATCCTCTCCTAGCCTCTCTTTACTCTCCCAATGACATGCCATGCCAAGCCTTGAAACTCTCGGCCCTCTGTGGGGCAGGGCTACAGTGTATGGACAGGTTCAAGCCTTGCACTGATGAGAGGGCACAGTCCTCTCATTGCCACATGCAGGTCCCGTCTTGGAGGGCAGGGCCCTGCCAACACAATTATAGCTAACAGCTATGGGTATGGGCTTGAACCTATGGTCTGAACACGTGCCTAAGTGTGTAGGCTTGACAGAGTTCAGATGCATGTTGTTGAGTAGGATGGAAACTCACAAGAATGTTGTAAACATCTTCATCATGCCCTTACTTTGCCTCATGGCATCTGCTAAAAAATAAAGACACAGCTTGTGGATGCACTCTCTGTCTCTCAGAGAAGCAGCATCCCACTGAGACACAGCTTTTATTCTCTTGTCTGTCTTTTCTAAGACTTTCAGCTGCCTCCACTCAGGTTCACCGTTGGCTGTATTGGCACGACACAGCTCTCCCCTTCTCTCTTCTCTCAGCCCAAATGTGGTTTATTCCTCAGAAATCAGCTAAAGCATGTTCTCTGGGAAATGGTTCCTGCTTGACCAGGTCAGTAGCATGTGGAAGGGAGGCTTGATGGGTTGTGTCTCCTCTCCACATCCAGTCAGTGGCAGGGACAGCCTACAGCACTGGGCTGAGAAGGACTCTCAGAAACATCTAGCCACAGTGGGAAAATGTGGTCATCCATGCTAAACTTTAACTGCAACTGATAAGAGAGGCTAGACTACCCACCTAACAGGCTCAGGCCCTGCCTGGGATGGGCATTAACTTGGCTTGACCACTAATTTGTACATTTCTCAAGCACAGAGATTATATCTTACACTTTTTGTTTTCCCTGTAAATATTTGTTTGTTGTTGTTAATGCTTTTGCATGAATATCCTCTCAGATTCTATCATGCACCTAGGGCCGTGGTGGACAAACTGCAGCTCGCGAACCATATGCGGCTATCTGGCCCCTTGAGTGTGGCTCTTCCACAAAATATCACGGCCTGGGCAAGTCTATTTTGAAGAAGTGGCATTAGAAGAAGTTTAAGTTTAAAAAAATTGGCTCTCAAAAGAAATTTCAATCGTACTATTGATATTTGGCTCTGTCGACTAATGAGTTTGTCGACCACTGACCTAGGGCACCCAACAAATACTGATGAATGAATGCTATAATCTGCAAATATATTTTTTTTAAATTTTTTTTTTTTCAATTCACTGACAAGCTCTTCTCAGCTCCTATACTCCTACCTTTGCCGTGGGCACTGCCTAGTTTGGCATATTTATGCTGGCCTACCCAGAGAGGCTTCTTAGGGCTATACAACTATTTTAATGCCATGATACCATATCTAGACTTTATATTTTATTAAGTCTCTAGACAACATCTAGGTCCTCAATTAGACACAGCCTCAAAGCTGTGTGTTCACTCAAAATACTCGGGATAAACTTTCTAGAAAAGTTCATAGAATCCTGAAACCTACAACCTGAGAGCAGATAACACTCCAGACATTCAACATGTCTAAGGATTTGAAACTCATGTGAACTTAAAAGGCACCTTGGTTTAAAAGCACCTTGTCCTCAGCTCAAATCCACACAGCCAGGGTCTCCCTTTACTCCCCATTCAGGCCAGCTGTACTGGAGCGAGGTCTTCCAGTCCCCACTCCCTCTTTTACCCTCCACAGAGCCTCCCTAAGGTTGATGCCTAAAGGCTTCTGAGAATTAGCTTCACTTTGAAGACTATTCAGAACCACAGAGTGCGGTGGGAGTGGCCTGAAAGCTTTAAAAAGCTTCAAAATAAATCAAAGGATGAAAGGAGATGTGTGAAGCCAAGAATTCCTTCCCACCCCGCAGAAGCAATGCATTAACCAAGCAATCTGTGCTGCAGAGCCGCGTGCAGCATGATGGGCGGGCAGGGAAGAGACAGGGCCTGGACCGTGAAGGGCAGCAGGAACCGGAGGGCCTGTACCTTCTCTCCGCGGTGGGTTCTCGCACCCGCGCTTGCGAGTGCCGGCTGCCCCGGAGCACCGGACCCTGGCGGCTGGCGTTGAAGCCGGCGGAGGAGCGAGGCTCTTCCCGGCTCCGGTGCAGTGGCACTGAAGTGCGCACAGCCGACACCACGTGGCCCGCGAAGGCGTGCGCGGGGGCTAGGGGCCTGGGGCCGAGCGCGCGGTGGGGTCCAGGCAGGCAGGGCCGTGTCTGCTCCTTCACGCCTCCGCTGCAGCTGCGTGAGCAGGCGGACCAGGGGCCCCAGGCGCCCCACACTCCTGGGACGCCGCCTTCCTCGGGGGCGCCCTCCACCACTGCCATCCGCTGAGGGACCTGCGGAGACAGAGGCTGGTTAGGGACCAGGACACAGGTTCCTGCTTTGCCCTAAAATGCGGTGGGTAACCTGAAAGGTTTGCCTATTGTCTTTATACCAGCGCACTCATAAAATATATTTTAAAATATTTTTATGGAGGAAGGAACACACCAAAGCACAAGTGCTCGCGGCTCAGGAAAATCATAATGCAGTCCTTGCTTTGGGTGCCCTGACCTGGGGAAGCTCAGTTTGGCGCCCTATCCTCTCACTGAGGCTCTCCCCTCAAAAGTTCCCCTCAACCTCCGTCAGGCCATAAGGAGATTTAGGCCAGGTCAACCAAGTGCACAGCAGAGAGCTTGGCACTAAATGCCTACTTGTATGCACCATTAGGACAGTCTCCTGCTTCCATGGTGAATCCCAGAAGGTGGGAAATGTCAGAAAGTTTTAAAGTCCTATCCAAATGGTGATTCTATATTCCCATTTACTTGCCATTTCAAAGACCTTCCAGGCCCAGCTAAGAAGGGTGCTAAAAAGGGTGCAGTCTTCCTGCGCTGTGCACGTGTGCTCGGAGCATCAGAGGGGCACCAGCACTGTGCTGGGCCCTGAGGACAAAGAGAAAAGCACCCAGGTCCACACAAATGGCCTGGACCCAGCAGAAGGAAGGCTCTAAGGAGTTAACATAAGATTGGGGGAGGCTGGCTGGATGACGGGGGTGCGGGTGGGGGTGGGAGCAATGAGAAAGCCACAGAGGTGGGACCGCGTGCCCACTCAGTGCAGTGACACGTGTAACTGCCACTCCTCAGAGCTTTGGTCGCCACCACTCCCATCTTTCAGTGGTGAGGCTCCCCAGCTGAGGTCAGAGATGTGCGACTTGCCCCAGCCAGACATGTCACTTCAGCAGAGTTGGGATTTAAGTCTTACTAGCTCCCAGTGCCTGGAGCTCCAGCACTCACTCCCTGCTGTCTTCCCGGGAGACAGTGCTCTTGTGCTTCTGCATCCTTCTCTTGAAATGTCCTTCCTTTCAGTGAGCTCACTGTGACTTTCCTTAGAAGGTGGGTTTTTCAGTGACCCTCAGGCTTCCATGTAAAGTGGAAAATATCTCCGAATGCCCACTTACCTTAGCCTTTTTTGTTTTTTAAGATATTGGTTTTTGGCAGCTTTGTTTGGCCCAAGATCTCAAAGACCTGTCACACTTGTACTCTTCCTCTGTCCCTCAGTGCCCTGAGCAGTGAGAAGGTCCAGGGATTGTCTTCCCCTTTACGTGAAATTCCTTCCCATCACATGGAATGAGAGATAGAGCTAAGATCACTTTGGGGGATAACTGTGAGGAAGCATGAGGAGACCTAAGTGCTCAGTAAATGGCACCACTGTGGTAGCTGAACCATATTGCCAAAAGCAAGGATTCTGCTCTTGGGTAGAGGTCTTGCCCCCAGGCACTCCCTCAATCAGCCTAAAGTCATGGTACAGGTTTAACTGGGCCTACTTTCTATCAACTGCATTCCAGTACACAGATTGGTTTCAAGATGACCTTTATAAGCTTAAATTGGATTCCTGAGGGAGCCACATGGCAGGATGAGTGAGAGGGGGAACCAAGGGAGCAAACAAGAATCTAACCAGAGGGAAGCCTAGAGCTGGATCTCAAACAGCCAAGCTACAGGAGCCCTATTCAGAGAGCCAACGTGGAGACAAGATGGGGTCAGAGAAAGGGCATGACCGACGGCCCCATGACAGGGAGGCTCCTTACCACCCATTTGTGAGCAATGTGAGCACCAGATGGGGATGAGCATAGGAATGATGTGCTCAAGTCATCACTACTAAACTGGGGACCCCAGAGAAAAGGCTTTTTGCCTGCTTATAAACACAAAACAAACAAGCAAGCTTTTGTTCTTTCTTCTCTTCTCTTACATGTCCTAATTTATTAATATCAAAATGATGGTAGATTCACTGAGGTGGTTATAAAAATGCCTAATCACGCCACAGTCTTGATATATAAAGGAATCCCTAAAGTATGGCTAGTGGCTTGAATGGTGACCCTCCCCAAAAGTATGTCCATACCCTGACCCAGAACTTGTGAATGTGCCATTAATGGAAAAGGGTCTAGATGTAATTAGGTTACAGACCTTGAAATGAAATCTTCCTGGGTTTTCCCTGTGGGACCCACATTCAATGACAAATGTCCTTATAAGACAAAGACAGACGAAGAGGCCAAGGCAGAGACTGGAGTGATGTAGCCATAGCAGGAAGGCTGAAGCCAGTACCAGCTAAATGAAGCAAAGAGAGAGCCACCCCTAGTAGAGAGTGCAAGTGGCCTCCGTGGCACCTGGATTTTGAACTTCTGACCTCCAGAAATGTGAATGAATACATTTCTGCCATTTTAAGCCATCAGGTTTGAGGACAGTCCTAGGAAACCAACACAGTGTGTAAGTACGTCTAAGACAAGAAAGAAAAGTGGGCAGACGTTTGCAGAGCACCTTTTCTGTGTCCAGCACTGCACAAACAGCTCACATGCATAGGGCTGGGCTCTGTGGCAGGGCCCCTCAGCCACGCTGATGTTGGTGTTATTCTTTTTCTCTTACAGAGAAAAGCTGAGACCCCCAGAGTTGTGTGCCTTGTCCATGCAGGCGAATGAGGGGCATTCTGACTCCATTCCAGTGCTTTTGTTTCCCCCACACTGCATGTCACCTCCCTGACCGTGTTGACAAAAACAGAAGGGTAAAATAAACCTACTTGTATAGTTCCAGAAGAAGGATAAATAAATGAAGGCAGAAGTATGTTTCTGAGACATTTGGAGATTTCACTTATCACCAAGTCCTGCTTTCTCACTAACATATATCTAAGACACTATAATTTTAGGTTAAATGTGCAGCTATACTAAAAATCTGCTCCCTAGAATTAATCCCATCCTTAATTTACTTTCCTGTATGGAAGTTGGGCGGGGTCCCTAAGAAGAGAAAATAAAAAAACACATTCCATTCTATTCTCTTCATAAGAATTCTTTAATATATACATATACATAGTTGAATTATGGTGAGTGACTTGAAATTCCATCTCAGTCCCCATGGTGTGAATCTAACCATATTCTCCAGAATTGTGTTTTTATAGTATATAGCCAGAAACATAGGGAAAGGGTGCAGAAGAAGCAGAAAGGAAGGAGTAACATGCAGAGAAAGAGAAAGAACCCCCATCTTCCTTCCACACCTTCCCACCCTCCAAATGATAGTCAAGGAGTTTTCTGTAAGGCAAAATGAGTAAACTTCCAAGTGTTCTGTGACATAATATTCCTAAAATTAGGACTAACAGGACCTCTGCTAGTCAATAACAAAACCAAAGAATAAGTAATGGTAAAGGACAAAAACAAATAATCCAAAGTCAAAGCCTGTAAACTTCTAGCCTGGTGCCCCTTCCCCAACACACTACTTGTAAAGACAGGAGCAGAAAACCTGAGGTGCTTCTAAAATACACCCCAAATCCTGATGTTTCTCATTTACAAAGAAGTCTAATTAGTAAGGAAAACATGAACCCAATGAAAATAGGGATGATGGACATGAATGGGAAGTTGTTATGGATTGAATGGTTGGACCCCTCAAAATTCATATATTGAAGTCCTAACCCCAATGTGGTAGTATTTGGAAATGGGACCTTAGAGAGGTAATTAGATTTAGATAATGTCATGTGAGTAGAACTCTCATGATGGGATTAGTGTCATTCAAAAAAGTAGTAATGCCAGAGCTCTCTGCCTCTCTGCCCTTGGGGACATAGCAGGAGGCCAGCTGTTTGCAAACCAGGAACAGAGCCCTCACCAAAGAAACAAATCTGCCAGCATCCTGATCTAAGACTTCCAAACCTCCAGAATTGTGAGACACAAATTCCTGTTGTCTAGCCATCCAATCTCTGGTATTTTATTATAGCAGTCCAAGCTGACCAATGTAATGGGGAAATATATATAATACTAGAGGCCCGGTGCACAAAATTTGTGCACTTGGTGTTGGGGGTGGGGGTGGGGGTTGGTCTCAGCCTGGATTTTGAGAGGACACAAGATAAGCCAAAGGATCCCATAAGCACACAGGACTTCTCCTTTGGAGCTTTCCGACAATAATTGAATTGACCTTTGGGGTGATTAAGATTCTATACTTTTCAGCCCTAGCCAGTTTGGCTCAGTGGACAGAGTGATGACCTACAGACCGAAGGGTCCTGGATTCGATTCTGGTCAAGGGCACTTAGCTCAGTTGCAGATCTCCTCCTCCCCCCGGTCCTGGGCCTTGGTCAGGGTGCATACAGGTGGCAACCAATCGATGTGTTTCTCTCCCATTGATATTTCTTTTTGTCTTTCCCTCTCTCTTCCAGTCTCTAAAAATCAACTGAAAAATATCCTTGGATGAGGATTATAAACAAAAAGATTCTATACTGTTCTTATGTGAACAGATGGTCACTACAACATCAAAGGTTATTTTTAAATTGTTTCATACATATACTACTGGGCACTAAAAAAATTTAGGGTAAAATTCAGATGATAAAAAACAAACAAACAAAAGAGATCTTGTATACGAAAGGCTATACACTGTAAAGAAAGGAGTGGATGATGAAGATGACACTGGATGGCTTCAGCCTTCTATGACAGAGATAAGAACTGCCTCTGAGAGGAGCAGAGGCAAACGGGAGAATTACAGAAAGAAAAGTTGTAGAACTAGCAATAATACCCTTTATCTCCCTTAGCTGCTATAATACAAGCCTAATATCTAATATAAGATTCACTTCAAGGATTTTTATTTCCATTTTGCAGATGTGGTCACTGAGGTATAGAGTGCGCTAGTGGATGAAGCATGGGCTTTGAAAACACATATAAGAGATAAAATAATGCAAATCTGATGGCGTTGTTAGGTAGATTAAATGAATAAAGTAAAGCATCACACCCACTACCAGTCATCAGCAGGAGCACTGCAGACCCCCACTTCATTGCTTCAATGGGAGAACTTACATCACGAGTCTAAAGTTTTAAATATATAATAGCAGTGTAATATGC